TCGATCTTTACTTTGTTTTCTTTGTTTGTGTGTTGAATATGAAAATGTTTCCTTTTTCTTTCTTTTCAGATGGTACTTCATTGATTTACATATCCATGGAAGATAGTTTTCTTCAAACCGAGAATCCGGTTATGGACAGTGAGTTTATGGAAGGATTGTTACTAGATGGTTGCTGGTTAGAGACAACAGATGGATCTGAGTTTCTTAACTTAACTCCTCCAACTTTTGATCCATCTTCTTTCATGTGGTCTCCACCAACTCAAGATACTTCAGCAATCTGCACATCAAGAGTAGTATCATCTCATATGTACGGTCAGGATTGTGTCGAAAGATCGAGTTTTGATGAGTCTCAATGGAACAAAAGGTGGTGGATTGGACCAGGAGGTGGTACTTCTTCAGTTACTGAGAGATTGGTTCAAGCAGTTGAGCACATTAAAGATTACACAACTGAGAGAGGCTCACTTATACAGTTATGGGTTCCGGTTAACAGAGGCGGTAAGCGGGTTTTGACTACAAAGGAACAACCTTTTAGCCATGATCCGTTGTGTCAGAGACTTGCAAACTATAGAGAGATCTCTGTGAACTATCATTTCTCCGCTGAGCAAGATGATTCCAAGGCCTTAGCTGGTTTGCCTGGAAGGGTTTTCTTGGGGAAGCTACCTGAATGGACTCCTGATGTTAGGTTTTTCAAGAGCGAGGAGTATCCGAGAGTCCAGCACGCTCAGGACTGCGATGTCCGTGGAACGCTGGCGATTCCAGTGTTTGAGCAAGGTAGTAAGATTTGCTTGGGTGTTATTGAGGTTGTGATGACCACTGAGATGGTTAAACTGAGACCTGAGCTTGAAAGCATTTGCAGAGCACTTCAGGTTTGTGTCCTTCTCTAAAAGCTTTCAGCTTTTGCTTTTGAAATGGTGTTATTGAGAAGGAAGAATTTGTTTATTTTTCTGCAGGAAGTTGATCTTAGAAGCACTGAAGTTCCGATTCCTTCGTCTCTGAAGGTAAGCAAAGAAGCTACATAAGTTCTTTGAGTTCCGGTTTTCGGTATAAACAAGATTGTTTCTTCTTTGTTCAGGGATGTGACTTATCTTACAAAGCTGCATTACCCGAAATCCGAAATCTCTTGAGATGTGCTTGTGAGACGCATAAACTACCTTTAGCTCAGACATGGGTCTCTTGTCTCCAGCAAAGCAAAAGTGGGTGCCGTCACAACGATGAGAACTACATCCATTGTGTGTCAACCGTTGATGATGCTTGCTACGTTGGTGATCCAAAAGTCCGTGAGTTCCATGAAGCTTGCTCTGAGCACCACCTCTTGAAAGGCCAAGGAGTTGCAGGACAAGCCTTTTTGACCAATGGACCTTGCTTTTCCTCTGATGTATCTAACTACAAGAAATCTGAGTACCCTCTCTCTCACCATGCTAATATGTATGGTTTACATGGCGCGGTTGCAATACGCTTGCGCTGCATCCACACGGGCTCTGCTGATTTCGTCTTGGAGTTCTTTTTGCCTAAAGACTGTGATGATCTAGAGGAACAGAGGAAAATGTTGAATGCTCTTTCGACTATTATGGCACATGTACCTAGAAACTTAAGGACTGTTACAGATAAGGAACTAGAAGAAGAGAACGAAGTGATAGAGAGGGAAGAGATAGTAACGCCAAAGATAGAGAACACATCGGAACTACATCATCAGAACCAAAGCTCCTCATGGAGCGCCTCCCTCGAAGAAATCCAGCGGAGTAATAGTAGTAGTAATCTTCAGAATCTTGGAATAGTATTTGATGGAGGAGACAAGCTCCCAAATGATGGGTTTGGCTTGAAAAGAGGTTTTGACTACACCAGAGATTCTAATGTCAATGAGAGCGGCATTTTCTCTAGCGGCGGTTTCAGTAGGATGGCTGAGAAAAAGCGTACAAAAGCAGATAAAACCATCACTTTGGATGTTCTTCGACAGTATTTCGCAGGGAGTCTGAAAGATGCAGCCAAGAATATTGGTGGTAAGCAGCATTGTTCTATTGTTTCGATTAAATTTATCGGAAAAATCGTTAGATTGATGTCATTTTCTTGGGAAATTTTCAGTTTGTCCAACGACCTTGAAGAGAATATGCAGGCAACATGGGATACAGAGATGGCCTTCAAGAAAGATCAAGAAAGTGGGACATTCTCTACAGAAGATTCAACGGGTAATTGATTCGGTTCAAGGTGTTTCGGGTCCTCTTCCAATCGGGTCTTTCTACGCAAACTTCCCCAATTTAGCCTCACAGTCGCAAGAACCATCACAACAAGCCAAGACCTCGCCGCCTCCTCCGCCACCATCGCAGCTTGCAAAGTCCCCTGTTTCCTCATATAGTCACAGTTCAAACTCAAGCCAATGTTGCTCCAGCGAAACACAACTAAACAGCGGTGGAACAACCGATCCTGCTTCAGCTAATGTAGAAGGCATGTTCAAGAAAACGAACAGCGAAATTGAACTTCAAAGTTCGAGTCTTGATGAGACGGTATTGACTCTCTCTAGTTTAGAAAACATTCCTCAAGGCACAAACTTGTTATCATCTCAAGATGATGACTTCCTGAGGATAAAAGTCAGCTACGGAGACGAGAAGATCAGATTAAGGATGCGGAATTCGCACAGGTTAACGGATCTATTATGGGAGATCGGGAAGCGGTTTAACATAGAGGATATGAGCAGGTATGATCTAAAGTACTTAGATGAAGACAATGAATGGGTTTTGTTGACTTGTGATGAAGATGTAGAAGAGTGTGTAGATGTTTGGAGAGCCACACCGAGTCATACCATTAAGCTACTGCTTCAGGTTTCTTCTAATCATTTCCCTGAACGTTCTTCACCTACAGGATACAGTTTATGGCACTAAGAAGGGTTTTTAGGACATGACACAAAAGAGTATACCATTGTGTTCTGATACAATTGTTCATAGATTTTATTTTGGTTTTTTTCTTTTATGAAACATTTACTAGGAGGTGCTTTTGTTTTGTTTTTAAAAACGCACCAGAGAGAAAAAGAAAGATGAAAAACATGTAAAGATCCTCTCTTGCTGAGAAATTGAAGATTGGGTTTTTTTTTTAAAGATAATTTCTCTGTAATGTGGTTTTCAAATGTAGATACTTTTAAACTCATTTGTTTTCCATAATTATCATATACTCAATTTTAGGAAAAAATACTGTTATGTATAAAATACTAATAGAAAAAACATTTACCAAATTACATATTTTTGTTTTCTGAGAAAGTAAAAAGAAAAAACTCAATTTTTACAGAACACAAAGCCAGTAACCAAACTGAAATTTCTTAGAAGCTTTAAGACTTTTTGATGTTTCTATGAGTCTCGTGGCGTTCTTGTGACTTCCGGTGACGTGGAGGAGACGTTTCGAGCTTCATGAGACCGACTCTGTGCGGCTAAGTACTCAAGTGCCACAACTATGTCACCTATAAACGGTCGATAATGAGCTTCTTCGTTTAGACACATTGCGATTATCGCAATCGCATAGTTTAAACATCGTCTTGGGTATTTTCCTCGAAGAGACGGATCCACTAAGTGTCCAAACTTCTTCTGATCCTTAAGGTATGGACGTGACTGCAGAGAGAAACAGAAACGCGATTTTCTGTTAACAAGATAGTATAAATTTTGAACTTTGGGGTTTAATCCGGTTTAGTAGTTACTTACCCATGTAACAAGGTTCTGCTCTCCTTGCTTTTGACTCAAATCAATAGCTTTTCTCCCAGTAATCAGCTCAAGCAACACTACGCCGAAGCAGTAGATATCCGATTTAACGGTTAATTTCCCGCTCATTGCGTATTCTGGAGCACAGTAACCGTAAGTTCCCATGACACGGGTCGATACATGAGTTCGATCTCCTACTGGACCGAGTTTCGCCAATCCGAAATCCGAGAGTTTTGGATTGAACTCTTTGTCTAACAATATGTTTGCGGATTTCAAATCGCGGTAAATCACAGGCGGGTTAGCTATGCAATGAAGGTACTCTATTCCCCGAGCCGCACCAACCGCGATTTTCATTCGAGTATTCCAGCTTAAAGGCTCTTGATTTGACTCAAGATCTGAAAAGCAAACAAATTTGAAAACTGAAAATCCTTAATTAACAGTAAAACATTTAAAACAAAGATTGAGTTAAGTAAAACTAACCAAAAAGATGATCTTCTAAGCTTCCCATTGGCATGTATTCATAGACAAGAAGTCTCTGATCACCAGAAGTACAGTAACCAATCAAAGTAACGAGATTCGGATGATGTAATAAGCTAAGCATAAGAACTTCTACAATGAATTCTCGATTCCCTTGAAGCCCATCTGGATTCAATTGCTTAATAGCCACCACCTGTTTACATCATCAATAAGTCAAAAATTACATGAAAATACAGTTTTTGTTTAAAGGGTTTGAGTAAGAGAGAGATCTGACTTGTCCTGAATCTAAACGTCCTTTGTAAACTCTCCCGAAACCTCCTTCTCCGAGCAAATTCACTTCCCTGAAGTTTCTTGTAGCTGCAGCTAACTCCTTGAACGTGAAGCTACTTGCTCCACCACCAGGTTTTGGACTATTCACCTTTCCATTTACTGTTCCAATGAGAAATTAACACAAAATGTATGTATAAAAAAAGAGAGACATAATAAGATAAGAACACTCACCTAGAACACCCGAAATCGACTCTGTTCCTGTTGTTGTATCACTTCCATGAACTAGAAATCACAAAAAAATTCATAAGCAAACAAAAAAAACGAAAACTTTAACGGTTAAAACAACGAAAGTTGGGAAATTTGAAAAAGAAACCTGATGAATCATCGGTAGCGTAACGAGAGTTGTTGCATCGAGCTGTATCAATGTCGACTCTTGTGTCTTTGGTTCGAGGATTCAAACAAGAGAAACAAGTCATCTTTTTTGTTTCTTCTTTTTCTGGTGATGATGATTAAGAAGAAGGGATTCAGAAATGGAGCTGGTTTTTAAGAAACCGAGCTCCTGAAAAATCCCACACCAGACACAAAAAAAGCTTAACAAATTACACAAAAAAAAAACCTAGGATTTGGCTGTTGGAAGAGATTGTTGATTACTCTGTTTCTCCTTTGGATAATTCCAGAAAACAAAAGAACAAAAACTTTTTTTTGGTGAAAGTAAAAAAAAAAAGGGAATTATTGAAACCCTTTCACCAGAGAAGATCCGAATCGGTGATAGATTGCAGGAAGAGAGAGAAAGAATAATTTAAATTATATAATAACAAAACTGAAGAGTTACTAAAATTATACAAATTCCATCTAATCACACGACAAAAAATGACAAGGATCATAAAACAAGAAAATTAAAAAAAAGGTTTTAAATAAACAAAAATAGAATCAGTAGAGCGGAAAAAAAATCCAGGAAACGGGAGAGAAAATCACGGGAACGAACGACTAATTTTTTGTAACAGCTTTTGGTTCTTCTTCTTCTTTCTGTAT